GTTAGAGAGAAGAGGGGGTGATAGGACAGAGAGGGAGAGGTTAGAGAAGAAGAGGAGGTGATAGGACAGAGAGGGAGAGGTTAGAGAAGAAGAGGAGATGATAGGACAGAGAGGGAGAGGTTAGAGAAGAGGAGGAAGTCAGGGGAAAGAAAGAAGAGAGTAACAGGAATAAAGGAGAGTAGAGAAGGGATAGAGGGGGGGAGGTAGAGGAGAGTAGCAGAGCAGAGCAATTTACATTTACCCATAATCCTCTTGATGGAATTAACTCATTTTTTAACTGTCACTTCAATTAGTGTCCCAATACCTGAGGTTAACTAATGACTGTGTTTCCTGACTAAATTAATCTATTTCCCATTTTTATCCATTCAAAATAACTTAATTCAAACAATACGCTTAAATGGCTTTATAGGACCCTTAGCTCTGGGGAACAACTTAACAGACAACCACTAGGGCCAAGAGCCATATAAAGTTAATTGAATAATGCCACTAATTAAGTAACTTGATAATTGGCCAAGACAAAACCACACTGGTCTCGGACTGTCCAATAAGGACTGACTGAGTGCCACTTTTTAAGAGAAGGGAGTATTTTCCAAAAGAGCACCTCCACTGCTGAAGTGTGTGTGCATAGCTGCAGGAAGTAGGGGTGCTGAAGCACTCCCTGAAAAATCTGATTTTAAAAAATAGTAGTGCACTGGGCCTTTACTAGTCTTGTATTAGCAGATTGATATAGCAAAAAATTGCAGCACCCCCACCCCCAAACTACTTCCTGCGGCTATGTGTGTGTGCACATAGGCCTCTGGTCAAAAGTAGTGCACTATATAGGGAATAGGGTGTCATTTGGGACCAAGACAAAGATAGCCAATGATATGCTGCTGACAGTGGTTGAACAGGAGCTGTGGGGTGCTTGGACTAAGAGTGGAGGAGAAAGAGAGCTGATGCACTACAGGGTTTGATATTACAAGAGGTGGTTTTAAAGTATGGTGTGTGTGTGTGTGTGTGTGTGTGTGTTTGCTTGTGTGCATCTGTGCGTACCTCTGTGTGTGTGTGTGCATGCATGCCAGTCTGTGTGTGTGTGTGTATGAGGATGGCAGCTGGGAAGCAGACACAGTGCAGAAGAATTGCACCCTAGCAACTGACCTTTCAGCAGATGGCAGCTCCGCAGTAACAGCCACCCTACATCACAATGGCCCCTGCCTGGTAACATCTCCATCACTCCATAACCCCTGTCACAGAGGATGAGATATGGAGGTTGTTATTGGGGGAATGACAGCTTCAGAGGGAAAGCAAGACAGACATTCAGTCCTCTTCACCCCTCCAGACAGATTCTATGAAACCACTGTTTCCCGTGAGTGTGTGTGTGTGTCTGTGTGTGTCTATAACCACTTTTTCCTGTGTGTGGGTTTGCAGTGCATAGTGAATCAGGGTGGGAATGTGGACAGACAACTAGGCCACTGTGAGCAATCAGTATGATGTCTGTGGTCAGGCTCAGTGCCTCGGCCGTGGTAGAGAGAGGTGGACTGAGAAGTAGGGCAGTTAAGGTAGGAGGGAGGGTTGGTTAAACTCGGTGGTGTGTGTGTGTGTGTGTGTGTGTGTGTGTGTGTGTGTGTGTGTGTGTGTGTGTGTGTGTGTGTGTGTGTGTGTGTGGGTGTGCTGTAATAATTAATGGGGCATTACCGGCCCCCACACATACAGACCATGACCCCTTGATTATCTCTATTGGCTTGACGGGACGGGCTGCTCCTTCCCAGTTGGCCTGTTAGGATCTCATTCAGACTAAATCATCTTCTAAACCACAGGACTGCTGCAGAGATAGAGTCCTCAATGACAACACAGCTATGCTCGCTGAACAGACTTCATACAGCCTGCCTTGATGCTTGCTGTTCATAGGGAGGAATAGGAGCTCCGCTTTAAGTATTGTTTGGTGTAAGGACAGGAGTGACAAAGCAATGATGAGAGGGTTCCCGGCATTGTAATAAAGAAGACAAAACATGAAATATTGCATTGTAATTGGAACTATCAAATGGCATGTTTCTATACATTGATCATTTACAGACGTCTTTGTGGTGAAAAACTGTGAGCCTCCAACAGTAAAACGTCACTATACATTCTAGAGATTCTCTGGTATGCCATCAATGTCAATCTTCTGTAATGGAAGGCGATTACATGTGCGTGTGTTTGCATTGTTCATAGACATGTGGCAGAAATGTTAACAACTAGCAACTTTGCTCAATCTGAGCACTGAGTGGGTGGAGTCCAGATGACAAAATAGCATGTGTTCTCTACCCGTCTATCCAACTGTGGATCTGTGTCTACCTGTCTACCTACAACCTACCTCATCAATAGGGATCACACAAAGGCTGGGAACATTCAAATATCAGTATATCAGTGGGATATTGTCTACATGCAACCCGCTGCAGAATATAGTTAGAGACAAAGAGGGAAAATTGTGTGTTTTTGGTTTTAATTACAACAATAGTAGGCGAGGGCTCAACTCTGACACACTAGTGCAGGAATGTTTATTTGCTGCAGTTTAGGAGCAATGGTGGCTTACAGGAACTCTGACACATTCCTGTGTCACTCTCTCTCTCTCTCTCTCTCTGACACACGCACGCTTATGCCCACATGTGAGTGTGTGCACACACACACTGAGACACACACACACGCGCACTAAGACACACACACACACACACTGAGACACACACATGCACTGAGACACACACACACACACTGAGACACACACACACACACACTGAGACACACACGCACTGAGACACACACACACACACTGAGACACACACACGCGCACTGAGACACACACACGCGCACTGAGACACACACACACACACACTGAGACACACACGCACTGAGACACACACACACACACTGAGACACACACACGCGCACTGAGACACACACACACACACACACAACCACCCTGACCCTTCTAGTGCCTTTGCACATCCACTAGCACACACCTAAACACCTAATAAAAGTGGCGTCTCAAACATTAGACATCCTAATCTGACATTTCTGACATCATTATCAGACATTGTGATACTGTGACTGACTGCCCTAGAAGACACTAGCACAGCAATGACTCAGTGGGAGATGTTTAATGTATCATATCATTGACTACACACTCCAAAGCAGGAGAGCCTTGCTCACGAGTGTGTGTAACCAAATACACTTTTGGTGTAACTCTGTATGACTGTGCATTGAGTGGGTGTGAATTTGATGGTAAGCACCTTTTTCATCAGTAAGTCAAAGTTCTCAGGTCCCATCTGTTCTCCTCGCTGAAGTGTCTGGCAGCCGGCCCCTGTAAAGAAGACATTTCTTTTGGCACCGGGTTTTTAACGGCAGTGACACAGGGGACAGCCAACCACAGGAGCCACACATCTTCCAGTCAGCATGCATGCTGAGAACTGCTGCTTGCACAACTGGCCCTCCTCCAATACACACACAGGAGCGAAAGCACATGAACGCAGACATCCACACAGGCAGGCACACACACAGAAGGAACGTTCACACACACACACACACTCTCCCTGGTGCCCCACCCTTTTCTCACTGCTCTGCTCACCAAACTCTAATCGCTTCCAGAGGCAGAGTTATCCTGTCTCAGCCTGGCTGACAATAAGGGAAGTCCCAAATGGCACCCTATTCCCTATCCACCACCCATAGGGCTCTGGTCAAAGTAGTACACTATATAGGGAATATGGTGCCATTTGGGATGTAGTCAAGGTTTGCACCCACCAAATATGTCCTCTCTCTTTCACCAACTTTATCAGGGTCAGGACTCAAGTTCCTTTAATATTAGGTGATTTAACCTACTGAGGCCTAATATTGTGACATGTCAACATGGCTAACTAGTCCTTATGTAGGCCATCCTAAGCTTTTATGTGAGGCTGTCTGTAATTTAAATGTTTTGAATATAAAACTGTTATGAATGACTAACAATTGAAGTAAAAAAATGCCGTCAGTGTAATGGCGATTCCCGCCATTTTCGCAGTTCATGATGCATCCACATATAATTGGATTTCAGTTGATTTAGTTAGGTGATGTTTCCATTTATTACAGAATATAAAGTTCCAATACATTTTATTAAGCGCCTACCGTATAAAGGTGCAGAGAGGTGTATTCCATGCTGTTCTAGTGAGACGGTAAGAACCGCTCCACAGAGTTTTCAAACCGACCGCGGTCACCTCTCACCTGTTCAAACCACTGGTTCAAACACTTCTTCGTCACCTGTGTACCTAGGTCATATGATCAGTGACCTATCACCCCACGTGAGCCCCTAGAAGTGTATTTATTTTCTCTAGTGCAAAACAAGTTAAAACATCCCAAGAGAGACAACGCTGCTGCTACTCTGTTTACTATTTATGCATAGTCATTTTAACTCTACCCACATGTACATATGACCTCAATTACCTCAACTAGCTGGTGCTCCCGCACATTGACTCTGTACCGATACCCCCCTGTATATAGCCTCCCTACTGCTATTTTATTTTACTGCTGCTCTTTAGCTATTTGCTTTTATTTTTCTTAATTAACACTTTTTTATTTTAAATGTTTCTTTAAAAAACTGCATTGTTGGTTAAGGGCTTGTAAGTAAGCGTTTCACTGTAATGTCTACACCTGTTGTTCCATGGTGTGCGTCAACACCGATTGCCGAAACGAGACTTTCTCACTGTACCCCAGCATTTCCCAAACTTGGTCCTTGGGACCCCAAGGGGTGCGCGTTTTGGTTTTTGCCTTAATTTGATTCAAATTATCAAAGCTTGATAATTAGTTCATTATTTGAATCAGTTGTGTAGTGCTAGGGCAAAAACCAAAACGTGCACCCCTTGGGGTCCCGAGGACCGAGTTTTGGAAACCCTGCTGTACCCCCCTCTGCTGTCCCAGCTAATAAACCAGTCAATGCTGACATCTAGCGAACGTCCACACAAAACGCACATTGGATATGCACATGCGCACTGCTCTCCTGTCGGACGGAAGAGACTCATTAATTCTCCTCCCACTTCCGGCTCGTTCTCTTTCCAGCCTTCCATGCCACGATGGTAAGAGCTTTTCTGATTCTTCTACAGGCCCAGCATGTTGAATTTAAATATACAGACCAAAATACACCGGTGAATTTGTCATTTATTTGTAGAAAATACTCCTATGTAGTCCATTCTTCATAATTTTCGTAGAAAGGGTGTTTATATGTGGTATTTTAGTTCTACATATGGTTTGCTAACTAGCCACAACAGGCACGCGCTAACGTATATGCGTGTGCTTGATTGCCTGCTATGGGTCGGATGTTGAAAATCATGGATGTAAATTGTAAGCCGGGTGATCAGTTCCAAACTGTATATTATAGTAGTTAGGTGCATAATCAGTTTTAACATGTCTTCAAAGCCGTTAGAATAACTCGCTAACGTTATCAACATTAAGAGGATAGGAAACTAACTAGCAGTTTACCTTAACAAAGCCTACGAAATAAGTTTTTCCAAGGAGTAAACAGGCTTCTTCTGAGTGCGGTCGTTGTCAGAATGATGCGGCACAGATGAGTAGGGAAACTAGTATCTTTGAATGCAGTTGTTGAGATGTTAAACAAATTTCCCCAAGTATTGTAAGTTACATTTAGATCAGATCTGTGGAGAATTTACGTCACATGGTCTAGTCAGGTTGCAGGCTCACACAGTAGGTTCAGTAGTTATCTGAAAATAACTTCACATCTCCTCATCCACCTCTCCCCAGACTAAGAAGAGAAGGAATAACGGCCGTGCCAAGAAGGGTCGTGGACATGTCCAGCCCATCCGCTGTACCAACTGTGCCCGGTGTGTGCCTAAGGACAAGGCAATCAAGAAGTTTGTCATCAGGAACATTGTCGAGGCTGCTGCTGTGAGAGACATCACAGAGGCTAGCGTGTTTGACTGTGAGTAGCTGCTGAATGATGTCATCAAACATACAAATATCTACGTTTTTTGTGGCAAATTGAAATGCATTTATCTGGTGCGGTGGGAGGATTATACTGGGGGAAATGTGAAAGTATCAGACAAGCGCTTTTGCATTTTTTTCCTGTACACATGTTGTGGCTGTATTATCAATGTTCTGGCCCAGCTGTGAGGTGCCGTTGATCTAACCTTGTCCTTATTGTTGTCCCCCCTCTCTAGCATATGTGCTGCCCAAGCTGTATGTGAAGCTGCACTACTGTGTGAGCTGTGCCATCCACAGCAAGGTGGTGAGGAATCGCTCCACCGAGGCCAGGAAGGACCGCACACCACCACCTCGCTTCAGGCCCAGTGTAAGTTATAGGACCTTAACTTCACTAGGCGCTGAAAGGAGTAAACGGCCTCAATAGTGCACCTCCCTTTAATCAAACTACTGGAAGTACTGGGTTTGATGCGATGGCAGAGATTATGGAAGAACGTGTTGGGTGGACTGCTACATTCCAAAGCCATGTAGCCTAAAAATGTCAAGTTAAATTGACCTCAGCTAGTTAGTCAATTGACAAACTAAACTCATTGACCCATGGGGTGGCGCACAATTGGTCCAGGGTAGGGGAGGGAATGGCCGGCAGGGATGTAGCTCAGTTGGTAGAGCATGGCGTTTGCAACGCCAGGGTTGTGGGTTCGATTCCCACGGGGGGCCAGTATGATAAAAAAAAATGTATGCACCAACTAAGAGCGTCTGCTAAATGACTAAAATGTAAATCTGAAAGCATGATATTATTATATTTCTATATTATCTGAATCTATTTCAATTCACCTAGTCTGGGACAGGAAGTTAAGATGGTAGACAAAGTGAAAGTAGATTGAAAGCATGTTATGAATATTTGACTAATTGTTTTTATTTTCTCCCTTCTAGGGTGGTGCCCCAAGACCACCTCCAAAGCCCATGGGTTAATGTGGTGGACAATCCTAAGGATTACTGTCATTTTTATGTGAAAATAAAAGTGATTTAACTGTACATCAGAAGTGTTACATTTGTATACCACCTTGGGAGCAGAGCGAAATCTGAAACTTTATATTGAATATTCCAATGTAATGGAGTCAGAACATTAACACGTATTTTTATTGGACACAAAAAAAGTTACTTGGAACAGAGCTGGGTTGCATACCATAACATAATTTGATACTAAAAGTAACACTTAAGAATGAGGTAGTTTCATGTCCTCATCTTGAGGTAAAGTTTATTTGTGTAATGTTACATTTGTCACAAAATTAAAACATTGCAATTCAGTGAAAGCCTAATTATGACTGGAATAAGGGCAATTCCACAGTAAGTGACACTGACTCTGATTTTTCACTGTAAAATGTATGTCAAACAAAAGCCATACTGTCGTTGTTACCAATCTTTGCATATGCACTGTTTTGAGTAAATGTGTTTTTTGTTAAAAAAATCTGTGGAAATTCAAAGTAGTCCTTGTGCATAGAGTTGTATGGTTTAACTTTGCACTCATTGGTTTTTGTTTGAGATGAATGTTAAAAAGTGAAAAATCTTACCATGGAAATGGCCGTAATGATCCCTGTCTTCAATAGAGGTGCATGAAAATGGCAGCCCCCATGCACTTACCACAAATTCCTCGTTTTGCTAAATCGCCTTTATTGTACATTGCTCTCTGTTACTCTTTTTTTTTTAGCAGAGTATACATCAACCCAATTTTAGTTTAAACGCAGGCAATTTGTAACATTTCACTGTGCTGATTCATTGGTAGCACGTAGTTTAAAAACAGTGGCTAGTGCTAACGAAGACAGACCACAGCCCGTCGTTTCAAATGGGAACAAATGAGTCATAGTGGGCAGGAGCTAGCGCGTTCTAGCAAACATTTGCATATTCCCGTCAGGGAACGCCCACTTTGTGAAGTGCGCATGTGCAATACCCCAATTTGCCTTTGCACGTCTTCTAAATAATTGTTTTATTGTTCTGTTGTGCTAAAATAATGTCAAATTCTGCCATCTTTATGCACGTTCGCTATTTTCCAAGCAAATTGGGCTACTTTTCGAAAATGTATTGGTCGCGGGTTTTTGGGCTACTTCTAAATTGCACCGCGGCCGCCATGGCATTTCTCTTAAAAAATATATACAATTCACTGTGACCTGTTGCCTGTCAGACAGTGAGGCAAGCTGTTGCTGAGTGAGTGGTGGGGAGGGCCGGAAGGGTGGGTGTGTTGAGAGAGCGCTACAGCTATTGGCTGAGTCACGTGAGCGAGAGGAAAGAGCTGCGCGAACGTCGAGACAACCTTTTACCAGTTGTATGTAGGCTATTTAGATTGTCATTATGGAGATCCCGATTTCCAACCCTTTTTCCATAAAACAGATTAATACGCTAGAACTGATGCACATCAACAAATAAATGGAGACAAAGCACTGGAAAACAACATTGGGCGCACTAGAGCGCATTACATAAATTCGCTCGGTGGTGGTTTAAACTGCATTCTAATGTTGACTTTGCTTCAATGACACTGTATCAAGCGAAGTGTTTTATGAATGCTCAGTTCTTGGGTCTCGGGGTCTGCTTGCCGGAGTGGAAATTTGAAATGGAAGTTATGGAACTCCCTCGAGTAGTTCTTCTTATTGGGAAAAGTCCTCAATGAAACTGACATTAAATGTGGAGAATGATACATTTGCTTCTCTGTTGGCCATCAAGTAGCCTATTAATTTATATTCCATTGTAGGCTACTATTTGATACAATACATTTATTGAAATTACGATATCACTGGAGTCATTGCAAATCAATTTGTGCCACTTGTGTAACCTACCTGGAGCTGGCAAACCAATTTCATAAATAGCCTATAACTTCAGTTTATTGTTGTTGTAGCCTTGTGTTATTATTAATGGACATGTTTGGATAATACAATTTGAAGTTATCAAAGCTCTATCGCAATTGCCGATCAGTTGTTAGAACATTAGATTGACGGGAACAGTAGTCAGATTAGGCTACAGGTTAAAAAAATATATATGCTTGTCAACAACACTGGCAGTTGTTAACAAGCATATTTAATTAATATAAATAATATTCATATTTAATTCAGTGATTGAAATTATGACCCCAGCAGGCTATTGGGAAACACAAGCACTTCTTACCTCGAAATCTATTCATTTTGAATAAATTAGTCTGTTAATTTGAACTAAGCAAGCTGCTAAATCGTTCAGTTTACGTCTTGCCTATATCTTGTCTAGGCTACTGTAGTCTATCTGAAAGAGATGTAGGCCTATCAGGAGCTATAGGCTACCGAGTTTATCCAAGCAAACCATGGCAAAATTGAATTACAATCATAAACTCAGATTTTAATCTGTAGCCTATGCAGTCGATCTCGCAAATGGGCCATTTATAACGGTTTGTAGTCTTAACATCTGGCACATAATAACAGCACAATTGCCAAAAAATAGCCTAACATTTTTTTTTTATGTTCTCCAAGTGTTTCTTGCTCAGAGATTTCGAGATGCTCTGTCCAATTTTCATCACTCAAACTCTCCGGTCGGATTTATCTATAGTTATGCACATGCGCAAAAGGGATTTATTTACAATTATAAAGGGGGTTCGAGCCCTGAATGCTGATTGGCTGAAAGCCGTGGTATATCAGACTGTATACTATGGGTATGTCAAAAATGTACTTTTATGTTGGTAACCAGTTTATAATAGCAATAAGGCACCCTGAGGATTTGTGGTATATGGCCAATATACCACGGCTAACGGCTGTATCCAGGCATTCCGCATTGTGTCATGCTTAAGAACAGCCCTTAGCTGTGGTATACTGACCACATATCCCCTTGTGCATTATTGATTAATCATAGCAGTCAAACAATTTAAATCGACATCCATTGATGAAAAATTATCTGGGGAGTTTAATAAGGGCGAGTTATATTTTCTCTTGCGATATAATCAAATTAGTTTATTCGCAATAAATATTATTTTGATTAAAAAAACAAACTTTGATTCTAATGTAGTTACAAGTTATGTTGATATTCCTTCTTAATTGGCTTGATAACATTATGGAAAAATTGTTTATTGTATAAATGTGGCAACTCCTTTCTTGCTGAAAAAAAGAAAATGGCCCGGTTTTCTGGTCATTGGGCTAGAAATTTTAGCTAGACCTGGCAACCCTGATTTCTCTGTTGTTGCTTGAGGTTCCATCACAGTTCATACATCATTCATTTGTCATCACACAGTGGAAAGGATAAATGAATGAGAAACTGATAAGCACATTCACACATCATAGAATGATCCTATGTACATCAAGTGCATTCATAGTACAATTTGATTTGAGTTTTTTTGAAGAACCCATACATTTGTTTGCCCTTTTTCACAGGAGGATGCAAACAGACTAAACATTTCACATAAAATACTGAATTTGGTCTGAAACGTTATACACTCCACACACTACAACGACAAACTCAAATACATTTAGAGGTTTCCGGGTTGCTTTAAAATAGCAGGAGGTAACATTTTCTGGATTAATGGGTTGCTTGTGCTGTGGCTGGACAATATTTGGGATATAGCTGACCATATCTACCAAAACTATGCTAAACGCACACTACAACATACCGATATTCACATACCTATACAAAAATGGATCAACTTCGATAGACTGAAATATTTTGTAAGTGCTTTTCTCACTATTCAGTTTCCATTTGTGCAACTGGAGTCTACCCATCAAAGTAGTCCTCGTTTCCTGGACCATTCAGTGCAAAATTACAACATTCTGTGGAAGTTGACATTGAGTCACCTCTGTAAATTGGGATGGAGATTACAAGACAGGACATATTGTCAGTCACAATAAGGTCAATGAAGCACCCATTTTAAGTGGAGGGACAGACCAATACATTACCCAGTTCTGTAGATGGCCCCGTCTCATTAAGAAAACCCTATAAAACACTGTTCATCTGATGTGCAGAGCATTCTTCTTATACAAAGTCATAATGTAAAGCGTTACAATATAATTTATCAGTGTAATACAGCAATCTCAGAAAAAAATACCCTCCAAAGCTAAAAGTCATTTTCACTTCACACTATTATCACATTTAAGCAAATCATCTAAAAGTGCAATCCTCAATCCCATATGACCACCTCAGTCAAGCCCTATCTATCACTGGACGGGTCAAGAGTCTGATCTGCACCAGAATTATAAGGCTCCTATTAACTCTCTACTTCTCCACCCCTGAAATCTGTAACCATCCACAGTAAAGGACCCACGTCACCTTAGGCAGGATATTTCACGTTCATCATCATTTCCTTTACACATGATCACGTACTCTAAAAATCATTAAATTAACGGTTGTAAACAATATGCAATCTCTCAGTCACAGCAGGGTTATCTAGGGTTGCAGCTATGTAACAGTTAAGGCAGTGTGTGTCTGTCTGTGTGTAATGTGGTGCAGAACAAACCTGAGCCCATGTCTTCCTAAAGCAGCAGACACCTCTGCCCCTCCCTCCCTCACCACACCTACCCCAGCCAGTCCCAATTCGCTCCCACTCCTACCCTTGGCCTTAACCCTTTGATGTGTGTAAATCTGTAAGGTGGAAGCAATTCAGTGAAAGCTCCACCACTACACTGATTATCCCTTTCCAGACCCTTCAGATATGTGTAAACATTGAAGGGGTAGGGCCAAGTTGGGACCGGATCTCCACTTTAACTCCTCTCCTCAGCCCACCTGGTGCTCCCCGCGGATGATGTGCGAGGTGAACTGGTAGCGGTCCCGGCTGTGGTGGCCACAGACGCTGCACTGGAAGGGCTGGCGGATGCTGTGGCAGCCCATGTGGATGGTGAACATCACATGGTCCAGGAAGAACATGCGACAGTGCTCACAGCGGAATGACCGCACCGCTCGCCCCTCCCCGTCCACCACCTGTATAGAAGCCTCCCTGGAGATGGGGGGTGTCCCTAAACCGGGGGTTCCTGATCCCTTCACAGTAGTGGGGATGGTGGTGACGATGGGAACGGGGCAGGCCCTGTCTCTTCGCTCTCTTTCTATGTCTGGGTCGTTGGCCTGGCTGGGGTTTGGACGGAGGTGGGTGCGGCTGCGGGGCAGGCCTGGAGATAGGTAACGTAGATGAGGGAGGAGGTGGTGGTTGTTGGAGTTGCTGGCTGGAGCTGTAAACAGCTGCTCCTCTGCTGTGCTCTCCGTGTCGGACTTGTCTTTGAAATCGTGGCAGCCGTTGCTTGGGCCGTTGCTGACAGTGAGCCTGTGGATGTGGCTGTGACCTGAGGGTACATTCTTGTGTCTCTCGCCTGCTTCCCGTCCAGCGAGCTCCATAGACATGGCCACTACCACACCTACACCCTCACCATTTCCAGCTCCACCATTGACCTGGGGACCCAGAGGAGTCAGGTGGCTGTAAACAGAGCTGATGACTGGTCTGGAGTCGGACAGGCAGGCAGGGTAGGGCAGGGGCAGGGCCAGCTGAGGTCGCTTAGACCCAGGGTCCTCACCACCTCCACAGCTGCGGAGGAACCTGCCCCCCATCCCTGCTAACCCTGCAGCACCAGCTTCTCCCTCAAGGTGAGAGTGCAGATCCCCATTCTTAACCTTTTCAGGGCCAGGGGATCGTTCATAAGGTAGATCACGCTTGTTGAGCCTCAGGTGCTTTTCTCCTGTAAAGAAAAGGGCACATCCGTGTTGACAACCTCAGATTCATAAGACTGTACCATCACGTTAAAGCAATGTTGGGTTTCAATACCTTCAGGAACATGGAAATATATAAACTGGAGAAAAAAAACTCACCCAGAAACTTCTGTGGTGTGGACCTCTTGCGTTTGGTGACGCTGTTGACCAGCCTGTCTATGAAGGACAGTTTCTCAGTGGACGGCTGGAGGACAGGCTCTGGCTCAGGCATCGGCTCCATGCCTGGGGACTCCTTCCCTACACAAAACATGACAGACTCTGTTCAAATAGACACTCCATTGACATCATAATGCAAACACAGATCTGTGTCTTCTGGTTCACAGTACACTGACTGGGCCAGTGAGCTCAGATTGAACTAACACAACATGAAGGAGCAAAGTGCATTTCTGCAAGCTTGTGTTGTGTGGATGATGACAGAGTCAATGTGTGTTACCCTGTACATTTTACATTAACCTGTGTATGTATGTTACCCTGTGCAGTGTGGTCAGTGCTGAATGCTGGCTGATGGTCCTGTAGAATCTTTAGGTAGTTGTGGCAGCATTCAAGGTGTTCCTCCAGGGTACTCTGCTGCTTGTAGCTACGACCACAGTAACTGCATTTGTAAAGTTTACCCACTGTCAGAGAGGACACTGCAGCACAGAAACACAGCAATTCATGGGTCAATCAATGAGTCATGTATGCTTCTCTTTTGGTCTGTTTTGATAAAATGAGGTCTACAAAATATGACAAGACTACTGATTGTTTCAGAGGGAAGTTTGTTATTCCTGCAAGTAAGTAAAATAAAAAGATACATGTAGTTGTGCATAATTAGAGTTTTATTCAATCATTCAGTCCTAGTTCATGACTTAGTCGTTACACTATGTACTTCCCCTTCTCCGTGAATTCCCGAAATTGTTCTATGTTCCACGCCTACGATGTTAAAAAACCTCCAACTCTCCACCGCAACGTTCCAATTACCAAGAGTCGGAGAAACTGACGTCATTTCACCGAAATCCGACATTGTGCAAGTTTGCTTTCTTCGAAAATGAACCTATTTGTTCTGAACAGCAAAGCAGAGACCCACCAAGGCTTGCCTGTCTCTATCAACACCTGTTGAATGCATGTCTACATTAAATTGAAAAACACCAACAGGACATCCTGTTTTGAATACATTTAAATGTCATTTCTTGCACGTGGTAACTTACATTCCTGTAAAGACGATATGTATCTATTTCCTCTGAACCCCACTCTAGAGCTCAATGGACTTTTCTAATGCAATCACTTGCATTGTGCTATAGATTTGTACCTTTTCTAGATGCAAAATGTAGTACGAAGTGTAGACAGTTAATACTGAGAAGTGATGGTATTACATTACTATTACATAACATAGTGAGCTAATACCTTGTTACAACACAATGGGACTGAGGCTGGTTGAGGCTCTATTCCCCATCTGGTCCCACTGAGCCCACTTAGAGCCCAAATGGTCTTACCAGTTTCCTGGCTTGACATTAGAAAGCAGGCTACTGTGTCTTACCAGCGTGTGTGCGGATGTGTCCAGAGAGTGCGTCCCGGCGGCGACAGGCGTAGTTACAGAAGGGACATTTAAAGGCTTTCTCTCCAGAGTGCAGCTTTATGTGGCGCAGCAGGTTCCCCTTCTGGGTGAAAGAGGCTCCACACTGGGTACACTGGAACGGACGCTCACCTGACAATATATACACACACACACACACACACACACACACACACAGATAGATACACAAACACACAATTAATTCCTCGTTATCCATGTCAATACTATCAAGTTGTAGCAAGGTAGTCGATCCATATTGAATCACCATTTATACAGCTAAGCCAAAGGAGTGAGGCCTACGAGGTCTAACCTGCAGTCTATCCATCCTCACCTGTGTGGCTGCGTTTGTGCACCGTCAGTACATTGGGCCCGATGCAGACCATTCCACACACGTCACATTGGGATGCAGGCTTAGGACTGGCCAGCTCCTCGTAACCCTTTCCTGGTCCTCCCCATACTCCACTCCCCTCTTCTGTCTTGTCCCCTCTGGCATCCCTCTCTCCATCTCTTCTCTCTGGCTGTGGAGAACCTGCAGGCTCATTGTCACTGTACAGTTCTACCTTAATGGAGTTCACTAAGGAAAGTGGAGACGGGAGAGACACTTTGTTCAAAATCATCAGAACTTTTAAAATTGCACTGAAGTAAATCTTTATATATTGAAATACAAATAAAAATGTATCATATGGAAATAATTAATCAAGTGAGATAACTGCCAGTGTTCTTTCAGTCAGTTTTGCATGTGATATATTAAATACAGTACAGTCAATAGGTTACAGAGATCATAGATAGGAGACATACATACACTGTACAAAACATTAAGAACACCAGCTCTTTCAATGACATAGACTGACCAGGTGGATCCAGGTGAAAGCTATGATCCCTTATTGCTGTCACTTAAATCCACTTCAATCAGTGTAGATGAAGGGGAGGAGACAGGTTAAAGAACGATTTTAAAGCCTTGAGACAATTGAGACATGGAGTGTGTATGTGTGCCATTCAGAGGTTAAATGGGCAAGACAAAATATTTTAGTGCCTTTGAACGGGTTATGGTAGTAAGTGCCAGGCGCACCAGTTTATGTCAATATTAGGAAGGTGTTCTTAATGTTTAGTACACTCAGTGTATAGTGATGACTGACCAATAAGAGATCTGTTTGGAGAGGACTGTTGACTGTTTGGAGTGGTCACTGTTGGAACCCTCAGACCTCCATAGAATTCACATCGCTCCGTCGCTGACTCTCCACCACTGCCTGTGAAGACACACGTACGCACACACACACATACAGTATGCACTCGTACTCCATGGATTGAACAAGCCCTAAATATAATTATACCAATTTTGTTACTTCTAATAAATACACTACCGGTCAAAAGTTTTAGAACACCTACTCATTCAAGGGTTTTTCTTTATTTTTACTATTTTCTATATTGTAGAATAATAGTTAAGACATCAAAACTATGAAATAACACATATGGAATCATGTAGTGACCAAAAAAGTGTTAAACAAATCAAAATATATTTTATATTTGAGATTCTTCAAATAACCACCCTTTGCCTTGATGACAGATTTACACACTCTTGGCATTCTCTCAACCAGCTTCATGAAGTAGTCACCTGGAATGCATTTAAATTAACATGTGTGTCTTCTTAAAAGTTAATTTGTGGAATTTCTTTCCTTCTTAATGCGTTTGAGCCAATCAGTTGTGTTGTGACAAGGTAGGGGGTATACAGAAGATAGCCCTATTTGGTAAAAGACCATATTATGGCAAGAATAGCTCAAATAAGCAAAGAGAAACGACAGTCCCTCATTACTTTAAGACATGAAGGTCAGTCAATACGGAAAATATCAAGAACTTTTAAAGTTTCTTCAAGTGCAGTCGCAAAAACCATCAAGCGCTATGATGAAACTGGCTCTCATGAGGACTGCCACAAGAATGGAAGACCCAGAGTTACCTCTGCCGCAGAGGATAAATTCATTAGAGGTACCAGCCTCAGAAATTGCACCCCAAATGAATGCTTCACAGAGTTCAAGTAACAGACACATCTCAACATCAACTGTTCAGAGGAGACTGTGTGAATCAGGCCTTCATGGTCGAATTGCTGCAAAGAAACCACTACTAAAGGACACCAACAAGAAGAAGAGACTTGCTTGGGCCAAGAAACATGAGCAATGGACATTAGACCGGTGGAAATGTGTCCTTGAAAGAATGCCAAGAGTGTGCAAAGCTGTCATCAAGGCAAAGGGTGGCTACTTTGAAGAATCTCAAATATAAAATATATTTGGTTTGTTTAACACTTTTTTGGTTACTACAGTGGGGGAAAAAAGTATTTAGTCAGCCACCAATTGTGCAAGTTCTCCCACTTAAAAAGATGAGAGGTCTGTAATTTTCATCATAGGTACACGTCAACTATGACAGACAAATTGAGAAAAAAAAATCTCCAGAAAATCACATTGTAGGATTTTTAATGAATTTATTTGCAAATTATGGTGGAAAATAAGTATTCATATGGTCAGATGTAACCAAAATATAACTTTTTGGTAAAAACTCAACTCGTCGTGTTTGGAGGACAAAGAATGCTGAGTTGCATCCAAAGAACACCATACCTACTGTGAAGCATGGGGGTGGAAACATCATGCTTAGGGGCTGTTTTTCTGCAAAGGGACCAGGACGACTGATCCGTGTAAAGGAAAGAATGAATGGGGCCATGTATCGTGAGATTTTGAGTGAAAACCTCCTCCCATCAGCAAGGGCATTGAAGATGAAACGTGGCTGGGTCTTTCAGCATGACAATAATCCCAAACACACCGCCCGGGCAACGAAGGAGTGGCTTCGTAAGAAGCATTTCAAGGTCCTGGAGTGGCCTAGCCAGTCTCCAGATCTCAATCCCATAGAAAATCTTTGGAGGAAGTTGAAAGTCAGTGTTGCCCAGCGACAGCCCCAAAACATCACTGCTCTAGAGGAGATCTGCATGGAGGAATGGGCCAAAATACCAGCAACAGTGTGTGAAAACCTTGTGAAGACTTACAGAAAATGTTTGATCTGTGTCATTGCCAACAAAGGGTATATAACAAAGTATTGAGAAACTTTTGTTATTGACCAAATACTTATTTTCCACCATAATTTGCAAATAAATTCATAAAAAATCCTACAATGTGATTTTCTGGATTTCTTTTTCTCATTTTGTCTGTCATAGTTGACGTGTACCTATGATGAAAATTACAGGCCTCTCTCATCTTTTTAAGTGGGAGAACTTGCACAATTGGTGGCTGACTAAATACTTTTTTTCCCCACTGTACATGATTCCTTATGTGTTATTTCATAGTTTTGACATCTTCACTATTATTCTACAATATAGAAAATAGTAAAAATAAAGAAAAACCCTTGAATGAGTAGGTGTTCGAAAACTTTTGACCGGTAGTGTACTTTCTGGAATAAGACTTGGTAGCACAAGAAACATCCACTGTTTTTTCCATACCTGACATATATGAACGTCCATTGCAGTCATCAGCATTCATTCTCTCACCAGCTGACTATGGCACAGAGAGAAAAACAGACAAGTCAGAGCAATGATGTGGTCCCACTCATGAGATATTCTAGCATACAACAATCTTTCATCTTGAGCATGCCCACTTGTCATTCAAATTGATGCCATTTTGGTTACAATTGTATGATGCTCACCATGTTAAATGTATTCTTTATAGCAGCTTTCTTTTTCAAATATCTGACTGCAGTAAAATCAGTAATAAATTGTTTCACACAAGTCTTTGTATTGTGCGTCTAACTGGTACTTTGCTCTAGTCTATCTAGATCACCTATCCTCAGTTGCCAGGAAATGCACATATGAGAAGTTCAACATTTATAGTCAGTGCTGAGGTGTGACACTTGAACTCTCCTCCCTCCTCCACCACATACCCAGGAAATGTGGGGTACATGTTTTATCACATTTCTCTGGTTTATCATCATGATAGATAAATCAAACAATCATTTTATTATTCTCATATATTTTAAATGTTGCATGGATATTCTAATCAAACCCACAGTTAACATTTTGGTTACTGATCCTGGTGGGGCCAATATAAAGCTATCCATCCATCAGCACGAGGATGGACACATGCAGCAGACAGCAGAGGTGGAGACAGCAAGAGGATGGACACATGGAGCAGACAGCAGAGGTTGAGACAGCAAGAGGATGGACACATGGAGCAGACAGCAGAGGTGGAGACAGCAAGAGGATGGACACATGGAGCAGACAGCAGAGGTGGAGACAGCAAGAGGATGGACACATGGAGCAGACAGCAGAGGTGGAGACAGCAAGAGGATGGACACATGGAGCAGACAGCAGAGGTGGAGACAGCAAGAGGATGGACACATGGAGCAGACAGCAGAGGTGGAGACAGCAAGAGGATGGACACATGGAGCAGACAGCAGAGGTGGAGACAGATAGAACATTTATTGGCAGTGCAGAAGCAACAGCTGTGTAATCATTAGCCAAACAGTTTTGCAACTAAAACGAGAGATTATATTGGACAAATGCAGGTAGGTCCCTCCCGTTTCGTTTGCTTCCGTTGAAGAAACGTTTTGCAACAGAATCGGCATAATGAATACGCTACCTCCCAGCCTTTGGTACCGCCGGTGCACCAATCATATTAATGGAAGACATTCCTGGGGTGAATTCATTACGGAAACCATTTACCCTTTAGAACCAAACGGAAGCAAACAGAGCAAAACGAGAGTTTCTGTTGGACAAATTCAGGTAGGTCCCGCCCCTTTTCGTTCCGTTTGCTTCCGTTCAAGAAACGTTTTGCAACAGAATCGGTGGAATGAATATGCCCCTGACATTCGTCTCGTGTTCCCATGTAACTGTGCTGGCTATGATGGAACAAGCTGATGATGGAACGTGACAGGTTAATAAGGGCGCGGTACATTCATATTGGTGCAAACAAGCATCAAAAGTCAACACAAATGCCATTTAGATGGGCACTTCCCCGATTGATGCAGCTGTCATCCGAAAATGACATGTCAGTCAAAGTAAAGGAATAATGTTTCTTCTGAGACGTTGCTATTGCACCCACCACATAAACTAGGCTGGATACATGACATTTTTAACAACGCTTTTTTCTGATAAACACTAGTTCATTGCATCCGCCGTGGAGCCCAGTTTCATAATATTCCCATATGTCCCAACTGCTTGCCGTAATTTTGAAGTAATCGCGAAAAAAAAACAGGCCTTGCCAGCTCTTATTAGTTTTATTGAGCACCGTGGCACCAACTCGCTTTCCGAACGTTCTATTCCCAGCCCATTGTTCTACGTCACAATGCCTGCTTCGCTATTGTTGGCAATGAGACGTGACCACGTTGAACTCGGAGGCTTACTTCAGGTAATTTATTATAACACGGTTACGGTTACTTCGTGAGCAAGCTCACTTTTCGCCTGGGTACACGTTGTTGTGACCCACAGTGCTAAAGATGGCTGGCGCATAGCCATCAAACGTTAGACATTTTCTGGCCATGGTTAACCATATATTTTTTCCGAAAAAGGTGTAACCCTGAACAAAACGCACGTCCCTGTACTCTTTTTCAAGATGTGGCCGATTTTAACAGCCAGAAGACATTTTTTTATTAAGGAATTACCTTCTTTTTTTTGATGATTTGTTGTTTGTAAGTGGCTGCTGGGTAATTTGATTTGCGTTGAAATCGGTTTGTTCGTAGGCATCGAATTGAGCGAATGCTGCACAGGTTTACTGAGTTGCAAACCAAATGGATAGGTCTAGCTCATTGATTTGTAGATCTGACATAATTGCTACCTCAGATTATGAGCCTAGCAAGTGTCGCGAGTGAGTTATGTAGTACGCACAGAAGGCCACAGTGAGGCGCAAGAGAGCTATAAACCCATATTATTTTCCCCCCTTAAAAAACCTAACCCTAGGTATAACCTATTTTAGCCTTAACCATAGCCCTGATTGGTAACACAATGCACCTATAGCTGTAATGGTCACCATTTTTTTAACTCTAACTCTAACCCTGACTTGTAACACGATGCACCTATAGCTGTAATGGTCACGGTAATCCTAACCCTAACTCTAACCCTGACTTGTAACACAATATAGCTGTAATGGTCACCCTTTTTCTAACCCTAACTTGTAACACAATGCACCTATAGCTGTAATGGTCACAGTAATTCTAACCCTAACACTAACTGTAACCCTGACTGGTAACACAATGCACCTACAGCTGTAATGGTAACCCTACCCCTAACAGTAACCCTAAACCTGACTGGTAAAGCAAGTCCAGAAATTGGATACACTTTATTTCCCAGCTGCCTCACCAATGTCTTTATGTGAATTAATCACTTTTAATTGCTAAATATTTCCAATAGATGGCAGCATAAGACCATGAAGCATCAGTTATAGGCTATAGCAGCAAATGATTGACATAAAATAGCATGTAACCAAAGACTGTGTCCCATGATTTTCTAAAATGGTTCCTCATTACTTTACATATACATACATACATACATACATACATACATACATACATACATACATACATACATACATACATACATACATTACATACATTACATACATACATACATATAGGGCCCCGTGTAGCTCAGTTGGTAGAGCATGGTGCTTATTTCCCTCATTAAAATGCAAATCAATTTATAACATTTTTGACATGCGTTTTTCTGGATTTTTCTGTTGTTATTCTGTCTCTCACTGTTCAAATAAACCTACCATTAAAATTATAGCCTGATCATTTCTTTGTCAGTGGGCAAACGTACAAAATCAGCAGGGGATCAAATACTTTTTTCCCTCACTGTGTATGTGTATATATATATATATATAAATAATACACACACACACACACACACACACACACACACACACACACACACACACACACACACACACATACATACAGTTGAAGTCGGAAGTTTACATACACTTAGGTTGAAGTCATTAAAACTTGTTTTTCAACCACTCCACACATTTCTTGTTAACAAACTAGAGTTTTGGCAAGTCGGTTAGGACATCTACTTTGTGCATGACACAAGTAATTTTTCCAACAATTGTTTACAGACAGATTATTTCACTTATAATTCACTTTATCATAATTCCAGTGGGTCAGAAGTTTACATACACTAAGTTGACCTTTAAACAGCTTGAAAAATTCCAGAAAATGATGTCATGGCTTTAGAAGCTTCTGATAGGCTAATTGACATAATTTGAGTCAATTGGAGGTGTACCTGTGGATGTATTTCAAGGCCTACCTTCAAACTCAGTGCCTTTTTGCTTGACATCATGGGAAAATCAAAAAATAAATCAGCCAAGACCTCAGAAAAACAATTGTAGACCTCCACAAGTCTGGTTCATCCTTGGGAGCAATTTCCAAACGCCTGAAGGTACCACGTTCATCTGTACAAACAATAGTATGCAAGTATAAACACCATGGGACCACGCAGCCTTCATACCGCTCAGGAAGGAGACGCGTTCTGTCTCCTAGAGATGAACGTACTTTGGTGCGAAAAGTGCAAATCAATCCCAGAACAACAGCAAAGGACCTTGTGAAGATGCTGGAGGAAACAGGTACAAAACTATCTATATCCACAGTAAAACAAGTCCTATATCGACATAACCTGAAAGGCCGCTCAGCAAGGAAGAAGCCACTGCTCCAAAACCGCCATAAAAAAGCCAGACTACGGTTTGCAACTGCACATGGGGACAAAGATCATACTTTTTGGAGAAATGTCCTCTGGTCTGATGAAACAAAAATAGAACTGTTTGGCCATAACAGTTCTATATGTTTGGAGGAAAAACGGGGTGGCTTGCAAGCCGAAGAACACCATCCCAACTTTGAAGCACGGGGTGGCACCCTCATGCTGTGGGGGTGCTTTGCTGCAGGAGGGACTGGTACACTTCACAAAATAGATGGCATCATGAGGAAGGAAAATTATGTGGATATATTGAAGCAACATCTCAAGACATCAGTAAGGAAGTTAAAGCTTGGTCGCAAATGGGTCTTCCAAATGGACAATGACCCCAAGCATACTTCCAAAGTTGTGGCAAAATGTCTTAAGGACAACAAAGTCAAGGTATTGGAGTGGCCATCACAAAGCCCTGACCTCAATCCTATAGAAAATGTGTGGCCAGAATTGAAAAAGCGTGTGCGAGCAAGGAGGCCTACAAACCTGACTCAGTTACACCAGTTCTGTCAGGAGGAATGGGCCAAAATTCACCAAACTTATTGTGGGAAGCTTGTGGAAGGCTACCCGAAACGTTTGACCCAAGTTAAACAATTTAAAGGCAACGCTACCAAATACTAATTGATTGTATGTAAACTTCTGACCCACTGGGAATGTGATGAAATAAATAAAAGCAAATAAATAATTCTCTCTACTATTATTCTGCCATTTCACATTCTTAAAATAAAGTGGTGATCCTAAATGACCTAAACTAGGAATTTTTACTAGGATTAAATGTCAGGAATGGTGAAAAACTGAGTTTAAATGTATTTGCCTAAGGTGTATGTAAACTTCCGACTTCAACTATATATATATACTGAGGGAAAAAAGTATTTGATCCCCTGCTGATTTTGTACTTTTGCCCACTGACAAATAAATTATCAGTCTATAATTTTAATGGTAGGTTTATTTGAACAGTGAGAGACAGAATAACAACAGAAAAATCCAGAAAAATGCATGTCAAAAATGTTATAAATTGATTTGCATTTTAATTAGGGAAATAAGTATTTGACCCCCTCTCAAATCAGAAAGATTTCTGGCTCCCAGGTGTCTTTTATACAGGTAACGAGCTGAGATTAGGAGCACACTCTTAAAGGGAGTGCTCCTAATCTCAGCTTGTTACCTGTATAAAAGACACCTGTCCACAGAAGCAATCAATCAATCAGATTCCAAACTCTCCACCATGGC